CACTTGTGCAAGCTCTCCAACCTTTTAAGCTACACTCTAGTCTCCTAGAAAGAAATCTAACAGGCTCACTTTTATATCCCAGCACTTATGCTTGAGTGCTTGCAGAATGCCCAGCTGCATTCCTTCTTTGAAGTGAAGTCTTTGGTGCTAAGCATTACACAGACTGTCAGTGGATAGTCAAGAGAATGCCATTTCCAGAGAGCTCAGTACTCATCTGAGCATTTCACAGACACTCATTTATCCTCATCATTATGCCCATTTTAGAGATGGTAAAACCCAGACTTAGAATTTGCTCATTATTGACACTGATGCTGAGACTTGAGTTGAAACAGTCTGGCTCCAGATTTGACACTAGTGCTGCATTTTATCTAGGTTTTTATTTTTATTAAAATTGTTTTCATGGTCTTTCAAGTAAATAGTCTAAGTCCGTGCTGTAAAGTCAGTATCTAAATGAGAGAATAAGAGCAGGGGAGAGTTTTTAAAACAAGATTGCAGTATATGTGGGCTGGAGCGATAGCACAGCGGGTAGGGTATTCGCCTTACACGCGGCCAATATGGCCGACCCGAGTTCGATTCCTCCGCCCCTCTCGGAGAGCCCGGCAAGCTACCGAGAGTATTCGATATGCCAGACACAGTAACAACAAAGTCTCCAATGGAGACGTTTACTGGGCCCGCTCGAGCTCGAGTGACCTAGAAATAGACACACAGGGCTGGAGCGATAGCACAGCGGGTAGGGCGTTCGCCTTACAAGCGGCCAATATGGCCGACCCATGTTCGATTCCTGCGCCCCTCTTGGAGAGCCCGGCAAGCTACCGAGAGTATTCGATATGCCAGACACAGTAACAACAAAGTCTCCAATGGAGACGTTACTGGGCCCGCTCGAGCAAATCGACGATCAACGGGAGGGCCTTTATCTTATCTTATCTAAAGATGACCATTCTGTAAATAGATATTGAAATAGGGTTATAAAAATTCAAAAGGATTTAAATCTCTGAAGAGTGCATAGCTTTACTTATTACTTCTTCCTTTATTAAATTAGTGAACACTATTCAAATTTTTGCTAGCACTTCTTCTAGCTCTTCTTTCCTCATGGAGAGCCTGGCAAGCTACCAAGAGTATTTTGCACACAAGGCAGATCCTAGCAAGCTCCCTGTGGAATATTCGATATGCCAAAAACAGTAACAACAAGTCTCACAATGGAGATGTTACTGGTGCCCGCTCTAGCAAATCGATGAAAAACGGGAGGACAGTGCTACAGTGCTACAGTGCTTCTTTGGCTTTAAATGTGGATGTAACATGAATATAGTAAGCCTTTTTAGGGTCTCATAGAAACTTGAGAACTTTCAAAGAAAGACAATTATTTCTTTATTTATATGTGAATATGAATTTCAGTGTCATGAAAATTAGAGTAGATTCTGTATAATTAATTTTAGACCTTTTCTTTGTTTAAGAAAATCAAAGAACTCTTCTAACCTTTAAGTGCATATAAAATGAAGCACAGATTCTACTTTGAAAGATTTTTGCCAACCTTGTTCAAATAGCTTCCTGTTCCTATCCTTACCCACTCAGTCCCTGTCCTGTCCCCATGTCTCCACAAACTCTACTCTACACTTACCTTAGCCTATCTAATCACGTATCCTCTTTCATATCTCATGATTTTTAGTGTGGAGAAACAGAAAGGTTTATTTGAAAATAGAAAGGAAAGGAAAAGAAACTCCCTGGGTGGGGAGGAACTTAGCATAGAACTAAGTGCACCATGTGCTTTAAATATATATGTATGTATATGTATATATATGATATATTATTGATGTATGAAAATGTATACAGTAATTTAGAGATAGTTTAAAGTTTTCATGAATATCTGGCATCCTCCAAGCCATGAGTTTGATCCCCAGCACCATACAGATCTTGAATGCTTCCAGGTATAACCCTGGTGAGCCCTAGAACCCTTGGTATTACTTTCATTACATCACCAAGTCGAAAACCAAAACTTCAGGCCTGTACTTTGGATAGAGTATCACTGGGAATGGTCCCTGGATCCCTGATCACTGCCAGGAAAGCTCCACCACTCCCACCCAGTAGCAAGGAAAAAAAGAAATATATATATATATATATATATATATATATATATGTTAACTTTTATTAGTGAAACACCATGAGGTACAGTTGTAGACTTACAAATTTTTGTACTTGGGTTTTAATTATACAACAATCAAAACAATGTATATTTTTAATATATGCATTTTTATAACTTTGTGGATAAGTGTCTGCCTGGCAAGCTATCGAGAGTATTTTACCTGCACGGCAGAGCCTGGGAAGCTCCTTTAAGGACATTCAAATTATCCAGCATTTCCCAAAATTCCTTCCTTTCCCTGTCCTTGTTTATTATGATGATCATGATCATGATTTGTGTTACAAATACTTGACAGAGAATATACCATCTTAAAATAAACATTAAAAATACTGTTTGACCTCCTTATGATATTAAAATGTCATGCGAAAGGATAAGTAGGAAAAATTTTGCAAAGGGGCAAATAAGGGATCTAGAAAGTTAAGAAATGCTTCTTTAAATAATTATTCTAACTTCAATATATTTTCAAGTTTTAAACTAAATTTAAAGTATTAAATTAATTTTTAATTTAATAAATATATTAGATATTTATCTTTCTTAACATAATTCTAAGTATTATATTGCATATTTGAGAGTTAACTGAATGTTGTTGCTGATTTTGGTTCTGCTATTACATGGATTTAGGAAAGAAAGTGAAGAAAGTGTATTGGAACAGAGAAAGAGAATTTTATCTGGGACTCCAATGAATGGCATTTTAAACATAAATGCAAATGAGGATTGAAAACTATTCCAAAAGAATATTGCATCAATCCTCAAATTGATCTCATTCATGGAGAGCCAGAGAAGACATGTTTCTGTTCCCCTAACAGCTCTCCTTGGGGGCAATTATTGTTCTAAATTTAAACTCAGAAATTTTAATCTTGGGTTAGTAAAGAACATCAGAGGAGTTTTTTTGTGATAATTATAGTGTTAAGATTGGAATTTTGGCTGCTCAGGAACCTTTCACGACCTTCCAGAGGGATTTTAGTGAATTTCTTAGTTAAGGTTAACACTAATTTAGAATTGACTCTATCTTATTTATCCCATCTTCTTGACTCTCAAAGTGAATATTTCTGTTAAACAATCATTTTTCCTAGGAGACACACTGATAATATTATTCTTTATAAAGACAGTCTGTCAAGGTGATGCTATGTTTAGAGGCCTTATATCAATTTTACCAAGTCCAGAAATAATGGAACTTAAACCCAGAGTGTTGCACATGTGTTGACTCAGCATTTGTTTTTTGAGTGAACTTGAATACTTATGTCTACACTTTTGGAGATCCTTTCCTCTGTGCTCCCTCAAGGAATAGTAGAATTTACTCCCTTGTGCTTCTATTGGACATTACATGTTATTATTGACATTACAGATATAGCTGATATCTGTCTGTCTGCATGCCCTACACCAATTCATATGCCATACATCCTTCAAGAAATTGAAGAACTGGCATTTCCTCTGCTTGAAAATACATTGTATTATCCTTCTACCCCTTTGTTCACATTCACCTATCTAAAATGTCCTTATCTCTCTATATTCACAGATTAATCTTCTGAAAGATTTTCATTGACTTCCCAAGCTAAAATGGCAGATTTTTTCCCAATTGTCTCACAGAAATGAATCATTTTGTGTCATGAAAGTCAAATACATCAGTCTTCTCAATATCTTCCAGATTGTGTCCTTTCTCACTGTAAATCTCTAGTCTATATAATGCCTACAGCACCCCCACACGTTCTGCAGGGGTACTATCAATATTTCATTTCCCTCTTTTCACATGGTTCGTCTGACTTCATATGTTACTCACTTCTTTTTCTTATACATGCTAGAACTTTGAGACCCTAGCAACAGCTGAAATGCAAGTAAACAACTTCCTATCTTCTTTGAGCCTTTACACAACTGTCTCTTTACAATGAAACCAACTAAGTTACCCTATTTTATGCTAGTCAACCACTCCTTTCCATTCCTAATCTCTTTTTTATTTCATTGCATTTTCTGTCGCATATTATCTCCTATTAAGTTATATAGTTTACTTAAGTTACTAATCTGTTCCCTTTCCTTATAAAAGATAAATTTCATGTGGGTGAGTATTTTTATCTGCTTGTTATGAGCCTTCACTGTAATGGGAACACAAGTGATCTTTAGTAAATGTGTTTAAAAGAATGAGCTCTGCTCATGCTGTACCAAAATTTTCCCCCACTGCTCATCAAATCATAAGCACTTTGGGGGCTAGAGAGACAGTACAGTAAATGGGACACTTGCTTTGCATGTGACTAACCAAGGATAGAGCCTCAGCACTCCACATGGTCCCCATGAGACCTGTCAGTAGTGATGTCTGACTGCAGAGCCAGCAGTAAGCCCTGAATACCACCAGGTGTGGTCTAAAGCTCCCCACTACACACACACACACACACACACACACACACACACACATAAATAAATAAAAATAAAAATAAACTCTTTGAATGCAGGGATTTCCTTCTGCTATCATTTCTATTTACAATATTTCACACATTTTTCTGAAAATTATGAGATCTAGATGTTTTCTAGTACATATATTCATCTCTAAATTCGGCATCTCAAAGCTTTTGCAATCACACCATGCCAAACTAGAATATGAGTTTTCTTAGAGAAGAAGCTTCCCCATAAACTCTTATAACATCTGAGATTTCCAAAGGTGACAAGTTAAATATACATTGATATAGTGAACATCTCTTCTGCAGAATCTTTTCAAAGGTTAAGAATTTAACAGTGTTTGGCTACTTTTCCCCAGTCTGTATCATTATGTTGGGCATTTATCTTAATAAGTGGAAAAACTCAAAAGAAGTCTGGGAACTGTAAGCTTGAAAAATAATACCTTGCCTCTTGTAACTTCTCTTTTCCTTTTTTCCCTCAGAGCTCTGCCAGCTATGATGCAGTGGGTTCGCACACAGAAACCAGGAGAAAGTGGCATCAATATTGTCACTGCTGATTTTGTAGAACTCGGTGATTTCATCAGCACTGTCATAAAGCTCAACTACATCTTTGATGAAGAAGCCAACACCTGATAGTATTATTTGGAGCATCCATGAGTAAGATAGAGAAGACTCATCGTTTAAGCATATTATCTATAAACACTGAGTCTCAGAGGGGATTAGGCTGATAGTGGGTGGGAGAAAGGGGAAATCCATTACTCCAGGGATGATTATGGTATTCTGCATTACTATAAATACTTCATTTCCCATTTGATGAGCAAAATCTACTGCTAGTGTTAGGGATAAAAAGACCAGTGAACTTTTGTTTTTCAAAATTAGTCTTTGTAATGTGATACTCATGAGTGTTTGCTTGATTGCATTTCTGGTTTCAACCCGGGGTCCCTCCATTCTCTGTGTCTCCTGAATCTTTCTGCTCCTGCTCTTGCTCGCTCTTCTTAGCCAGATGCTGTGTGGGAATCAAAACAGTTGAATACCCAATATAACATGTATTACATTGTTGTACTGAAATTTTTTGTGGGACTTGTCTTAATATTCTCTAGTAATTGTCACTTAAACAATCAGTGATGACTATTGGTCATTGAAAATATGCATCAAATCAGTTTCTTTGCATCAGTGAGTGCTATTGGAGGTCATGATCAGTAACTTTGGTGTTATATGAAAACAATCGTGTTTCACAGTATTTATATGTAAGGCAGCTATAAATAAAGATTAAAAACTTTATCTGGAATAACTACTAGTGCCAAGTCAATAGTGAAAATAAGGGAAGAAAAAAATTCTACTTTAATGAAGGAATAATATTCTCCCAGAAATTTCCATTAAATAAAAAATGAAGAGTGCTAAGATCACAAAAGTGAAAAATCCTTTTACCAAGGGGGCTCCTAAGAATTCTCTTAATTTAGAGAAAAAGGAAGAAAAAGAAAAAAGCAACAAGACATTGTGTGAGCTTTCCTAGCAAACTGGGATTTCCAAATATGTAATTCTAAATCCCAAACTTTGAGGAATATGCTTCAAGAAGCTTTGATTTGAGACTTTTCACTTTTTTAATTGAGGTTGAACAGGAGGAGGAGGAGGAGGAATACAGAAGTGCTTTTGAATCTGTGCCCATGAAATTTCAAATATCCATAAAACATCTTTAGGAGATCTTTAAATATGTATGACCTAGGCAGACTTGTTTAAAATTGGCAGTGACTCATCAGTTCTGACTTCCATCATACACTGTGGTTGAGAGTAAGGAAGAAGCCAATCTTTTCCATAAGGGTTTGTGGTTCAACATTGAATTACTTCTAAGTCTATAGGGGAAGAAAAAGATAATGCAACTTTGAGCTCTGCTTTCTTGTTAGAATCTTTGTAAAGTCTGATAACTCTAAAATCATCTTAAAAGTAGCACAGGATCTCTTTCCTATGTGCCACACAGGACAGGACTAGTGTGATGCATTTATAAACATCTATAAAATTTGCTCAACTTCTTGCCATTAAATATTTTATCTTCATGTGTAGAAATAATCACACCTCAATACTTTTTGGTGAAAATATAGTGCACAAAAAGGAGGTCTGTAACAAAATAAAGCATGTCCTCAACACTTAATTCATTTAAATGTAGAATGTGTGGTTCATTCTCCTAGACCTAAGTAAGGGAAATGATTTCAGGACCAACTATGTCATGATTATAATTAAAAGTTGGCTGCAAGAGTAAGTACAATTATTGTCATAAAATAGTATTTATTAGCAACTGCAGGGAGGGAATAGAAGTTATTTGCATTGATGAGAATGCTAATGAAGTGTGTGGGTGTGCATCATGGTAGAACAAGTAGCATGTATTTCACACACAGCAGGTATGATGTACATTCCAGTTGTGTGCATATGTCTCATTATACACAATTTACCAATATACCCACTCCTGTGCAGGCAGACAAACACAAATACACATAAACACACAATCATATATACAACCACAATTATTGTCTTTAAGTGAAAATATGGTAACACTAAGCTGTTTACTTTTAAGATTGAAATTTTTAACAAAGTGTGGAAAAGTTTATGACCATCCCAATTAGAGTAACTGATCATATTCAAATATTTTTGTAAAAATATTCTATCATGGGACTTATTTACAGATATTTTTTATCTTGCTTTTTCTCCTTTTGTAGTTTCATTGTCTTAATATCTCTTACTTGTTTTTATGTTCAATTAAATATGACTCTTTTTTCAACAACTATAGATTATTGAGTTTATGTCCTATAAATTTTTTTTGGGGGGAAGATTTTTTTCTCTCTGACTATTCATTATATATCACTCAGGAGGATACGTATAGCCAAGCAAACTTGTAACGACACATGGATTTAACTTAGAAATATGACAGAAAACCATTTTCAAAATATATTAATGGACTGGAGTGATAGCATAGCAGTAGGGCGTTTGCTTTGCACGCGGCCAACATGGCCAACCCAAGTTCGATTCCTCCGCCCCTCTTGGAGAACCCGGCAAGCTGCCGAGAATATCTCACCCGCACGTGATATATTCAATATGCCAAACACAGTAACAACAAGTCTCACAATGGAGATGTTACTGGGCCCGCTCGAGCAAATCAGTGAACAACGGGAGGACAGTGCTGCAGTGCTATTAATGGAAAAACTGCATAAAATATAGAGGTAACAATGTTGGGTTTTTTCCCTTGAAATTAGATGCTTTCTTATAATATTTGCTTAAAATCAGATTTGTCATATTTGTCTTTTGGGTGCTGGAAGAAACAAACATACTGAAGCATTAGACTAACTGTGCAGTTGCTTAACTGGAGAAAGCTTTTAATTGCTGCTAATGATATGCATACAGATACCTTTTTTGACAAAAGATACTTAGAAGTCAATGTGATGGTTTCCCCTTGGACATGCAGTGAGAGCAAATGGATTTGCCTTAATTTCTAAAGGAGGAAGCAGGTAGAAATGAGCCTTGTCTCCTTTAGTTCAAAGAAGAGGTCACTTGGAAGGATTTCTTGGAAAGAGGAATGGAGAGAAGTACCTTTGGCTGTTTTCTGTCCATTGACCCCTCCATAGAGCATCCTTAGGGAGTAGGTTGTGGGGATTTAAAGAGGTCTGGGTAAAGACTAGTGACTTGCAGCTAGAAATTACTCTTTGTCTATGCTCTTTTGTCTTAGCTGGGCATTGTCTTTCTAGAAAGATGGGAGCTCAAGGGCTATAAATAGGCCCCAAGTCAGTAAGATCTACATCCCAATGCACTTTTGTTTGTTTGTTTCTTAAGACCTAAAAGGCAAAAAATAAAAACCAAATCCAAATTTTACAGACTTTTTTGCTGCAGGAAATCAAAGGAGTGGGTGACATATGGGAAAATATGCAAAGAGTCTCATTTGGGGGTTTGACTTCCTATCTATAATGTTGAAGGACCATGATGGGGAATAGTCCTGCCATGATTGTTTATGTCTCCCTGATTACTACACAATCACATGAATGCAGAGAATGAGGAGGCATCTTTTTAAAGCCTTAGGATATTCTCTATGATGACCTCAATATTTACTTTCAGCCATACTTGGAAAACTTACTTTTCATGGAGCTTCACCAAACAGTGAATGTATTAGAGCATATAGTGTTTTGGCAATTATGTGCCTGTGTACACACACATACACACATACACACACAAATGGCATGTACACTTCATATACACTATTCAAGTAGAAGTTGCACTCTAATCACTCAACCGGTTCCATTGCCAGATTAAATCTTAAAATCAATATCTTCTACATTAGTACATAAGAACACTGAATAAATACTTAAGAGAAAAATCATTAGAAAAACAACAAAAAGTGAGACCATCATAAATAAGAAATTCCTAGCAGTAGTAGTAATGTAAATGCATCGTCAATTACACTTCAAGATGGAGAATCTAAGGTGAGCCTAAGTATAAATTACAAAAATGTCATCTTTACTTAAAGTTATCTTGAGTTCTTTGAGGTTCTGGCTTGCTTTAGCCAGAATTACCTATTCAGATTTACCCCTGTTAGGATTCCTGACTGGAAAGCTGAAAGTCTCAGGAAATGTATGTTTTGATGAAATTTTCAGTTCTAGTTTTACTGGCTTAATGACACAATCTTATAACCTGTGGTGGCTTATTCAAAGTGGAACTCCATAGGTTAAGTGCTCGCATTTTGAAGTACTAATAGAAAATAATGCAGTGTCCCTCAGGATATGTTAAACAAGGTTTTTACAAGTATTTTATTTTACAGCACTATAGTCTTTTTTGACTAGATTTCAGTGACACAATGATGTAAGTGCTATATTTGCCATAATTTATTGGTGGCTCCTGTGTTACATACAGTTTTAAATAATGCTCTAAATTGTTTGTTTTCTGACAACCAGAAAATGTTGTGTAAGATTTGTAACATGTGTCACCCATTAAGAAGTGTGTAATTTTTATTTCATTTGTGATACTATTTTATAGGCATTATCCTAAATGTATGTTTGTATGAGTCAAAATACGTGCTTGTATGTGATATGTGTGCATAAGTAAATTGTATCTTATCAAAAATCAAACTTATCCTAAAGAAAAAGGGCACATTATGACCAGCCTTAATTCATTGCCACTTTTTGTTATTGCAATTTGGAATTAAAATTTAAAGAGAAATTATGTTAGTTTTTATTGTTGTTTAAAATGGCCTTTCAGAAATCATTTAGAGTTTATCTGAGTTCCACAAGCAAATGTTCCATTTTGTGGAGCACCCCTTTTTTTCAAGTTTCTAATGTCAATTTATGAACTTTATTAACTAACAGAGAATAAACTGACACTAATTGTATCAGCAACAGAAACAGTGTACTTAGAAAATTGCTCCCAGACATGGAACCCACTTTACTTGTAGTGATGTTTCCTTTAAACCAGAAAATTTCTGTAAAATTTTTTCCTGTATACTGTTATTCTCTAAAAATTAGATTTTCTTTAATATTTACTCAGAAAAAAGACCTCTTTTACAGTTTAGTTGCTCTTTCTTTCATAGGGGTAACCAGAGAATTTAGTGCTCATGTATGCACTCATTAACACATTAGCACTAGTTATTTCATTCAGGTTAAAACTGGCCGCCAAAAGGCCAGAGTGATAGTACAGTGGGTAGAGTATTTATTTGTCTTGCATGCTGCCAACCTGGGTTCCATGCCTGGCACCACAATATCCCCCAAGCACTTCAGGAGTGATCCCTGAGTGCAGAGCCAGAAGTAAGCCCTTAGCACTGCCAGGTGTGGCCCAACCTCGACCTCCCCTCCCCCCCACACACACACAAAAAAATGGTCACCTATGGAATTATAAAACAGTTGAGAAGAATGGCTCTCTCCTGACTGCCTGAAGAATACAGAAGAGACTGAGGTATAGTTATAACCTTGCATGACCTGGAGACTGGGCAGGAGTTGAGCAGCAAGTAGGAAATAGCGTATGAATCCTGTCAAGAAAGCCAGAACTGACAGAGACTTTCCAAAGAAAGTTACAATAACCAGCACTTTTTTTCTAAGGAAAAGAAAAGCCCAAGATATCCCAGAGTAAGAACAATAATACCTGAAGCCAATTTCTAGATCAGTTTGCATGGAAAAAATCATGGTAGAATTTCTGAAATAGAGCATTCAGTTTTGTATTGTATCGACTATTGTATCTAGCAGTAAATCCTTGGCATAGCTTGCATGTGAATATAGTCTTAGAACATTTTTAGTATCTACCTCCTCTTCAGAAATTCCCATAAGTGATAAGACAGTAGAAATAAATTCTATCACAAGGCCCCTAGTTACACACATTTGTGTTGATTTGCTTCATTTCTAAAGGATGAAAATTTGCAAAGCTGGTGACAGTTTCTTCGTTAATCACCAGAAATTCACCAGAAGGAAATAGATCTGTGCCTTCTCTTTTTAGGATCTGGTCATTGATACTTTAATAAATGTGATGTGAAGAAAATACAAGCCTACAGTTCCGTTTAGCAAATGTGAATTTTTTGATAAGATTGTGTTCTTAATGTAAAACAGTTTCTTTGTATCCAGTGAAATGCTTAATAAAGTCCTGGTACCAGTTATCTTTATTGTTATTATTATTATTATTTTAGATTCATAAGTGCTTCATTGTAAGTTCAAAAGTGAATCACTTAAATAGGACATGACTCAGTACTACAGAAAATATAATTCTTTTTAAAAATATGAATCATCATGTTAGGCTATCCTATTTAAAAAGAAAATATTTCCTATCACTAAAGGCTTTGCATGAGACATTCATTATATTAAAATTAGGTATTCTTCAGTCCAATAATCTTAGTCTCTGGTACTCCTACAAAGAAGACCTTTATATTATATAAATGTTAATATAGTATATTAATATTATAAAAGTTTAAAAAATGTACTTTCACTAAATTTCAGATATGTGCAAATGCATAAAAT